CACCCATGCTGTGTTGATCTTCTGATGGCAACATTCTTGCCCACCTACAGAAGACAGATGGTATGTTGCATCTTCTGCTCTCCTGTTTCTGTTGTGAAGCAAAGATTGCACAACAGAAAAAGAATGTGAGTGGAATTGGTAATGCCAGTTAACTGCATAGATTACTAGGTGATGTAATCACCGTGACAAATGGCGTGGTTTGGGACATGCTGGCTGAATTATAGGCTGCATTGTTACCAAGGATGATTATGCATCCTGCTTTCATGTTATGTCTTTCCTTCTGGCATCTTTAAATCTTCATTTAGGAGCCATTAATCTTCACCTCAGTTTAGCAGAAGATTGGGGCTGCCTGCAGAGAGAGGAACCTTCCTCCTTTGCATACATGTTATAAAGAAACATGGTTCTTTGAACTCTGATTGAGGCTAATAGAATGCCATATACCCCTGCCAGGCTGGCCCAGATATAAAGATTGCCTCAAGTTATTCTTCAAAAAGTAAAAATGTCCCCTTACTACTCTCTATCATGTTCTTCTATGCTAATGATAATGGTGATGGTGGTGGTGGTGACAATGATGAGCAAGTGAACATTTTTTTCCATTTTCAAGGGTGGCAGAAGGAAAAATCAAATGCCACATTTAAAAAAAAAAGAAAAATAAATTCAGTGTGTGAGAGGTGCTTCAATATCAGGGAGGGGTATTCATTCATGTGATGTCAGTACCAATTGTACAAAGAAATGATTATCTATTACTTGGAGGAAGGGTTGCCTAGAGCTTAAGGATAGGACTTTTTAGTAAAAAATCCTGCCTCCACTATTTACTAGCTCCATTTACTTCTCTGATCCTGGACCTGTGACTGTGAAATGGGAATAATAATAATAAAATAATAATAATAGTACTTGCCTCATGGAATATGTTGGGAATTTCAAATGAGATTACATGTCTAAAGATCTTTGGGAAACTGGGAGAAGGTCAGTGGGGGAAAAAGGGAGACATCTTTACTACTATTTGTAATATTTTAAACAATAAAATAAAGAGATTTTAGGGAAAACATTCTGTGTTCCTATTACCTATTCGGCAAGTTGTAACCTCAGAAATAGTCTGACCTTAAACTTACACAATGTTATATGTCAATTATATATCAATAAAGCGGGGGGGGGGGGAGTTATATAATGACCCTCCCTTCCCCCATAAAACAAAATAAACATGCTAGTTTTATGGACCAAATGAATGGCTAGGCTTTCACAGGCATGGTTAACAGGAGAAAGAACAAACCATTCATAAATGACAGTGCTTTATTTAAATGTTTATGCTTTTGCTTTCACAGTCTCGTATCAGATTATGAAAACCAGGATGTATGATTTGGAGCCAGGTTTAAAGAAATGGGGACAATCAAAATATAACATTTTTCTTTCCAAACTTTAAGCTTTCAAATATGTCTTAATCTACTCATGACTTTCATTGCTCTGGTTCATCCTCCACCTTCTTTTATTTTTGGTACTTTGGCTATCGAAAGCCTCCATCCTCATTCATAGCAGGTCTGTACATGGTATGTATTCGCCACATCAACACCTGAAAGATGGCAGCTGATATGTGACTTTAAGAGCACATGTGCTCAGCCAGCCATCCAGTGTGGCTCAGTTGATTGAGCATCCATCATTCTTTGCACCAGGAGGTCGCTGGTTCGATTCCAGGTCAGCGCACATGCCCAGGTTGGGTTGTGGGCTAGATCCTCAGTAAGGAGCATGCAGAAAACAGCTGTCTCATCATTGTTTCTATCTCTCTCTCTCCCTTCCTCTCTCTGAATGAAAACATATTTTAAAATAAGTACATGTGCTCTGCCATGGCAGCAGGTTTGGTCTGCTTTCTGCATCACTTATTAGATAGACTATACTTATGCTAACCAGGACTCAGCTCTTCCTGATTATTTTCTGTGTCTGTATCTGTGTCTTTTTTTTTATGACTCTTTCTGTCTCTGAAACTCTCTCTCTCTCAATCTGTGTCTTGTTAAATGTTTTGTTATTTTTATGAAAAGCCTGAAGCAATGAGAGAGAGAGAGAGAGAGAGAGAGAGAGAGAGAGAGAGAGAGAGAGAGAGAGAGAGAGAGATTGATTGATTGATTTCAGGGAAGTGTCTTGGTGAAGACAGATTTCCATGGCAGTGAGAAGACATTTGTGCAATCGTAGGTGTAGTGTTTCTCCCCAACATCACTCCAACTTTGGATGAAACAACTGAATAATTGTGATATGTCTCCAAACCTACAAAAACCAATGCACAATTGCACAATCCCATAGGCACTCAATCCATCCAGAGAGCTGTCAGACATCTGCCAGGACTGGTGCAGGCAAGGAATTAGAGGCAAGGTTATTTGGTTGGTTTGGCTCCTTATCAGGAGGAAGGCTGGAGTTCAGCCTAGGTACTTATCCCAACTGATCACACCCTGAAATGTCCTGAGTCCTGCTAATGTCTCTTCCTGTTAACTCTTTCCCCACCTACTGTGGTCAGAGACCTCACTCACCTAGGCCTTAGGAAGGTTTTGTTCTTCCTTTTCCTTAAGGATGATGTTCTCCATGTACCTTCTTTATGAATTTAAGGGACTACATTTTTTGTAGATTGAATTTAGGGAAGGTACATGAGCTCACAATTGATCTCTTGTCCATGAACTGGGGGAATGAAATTACAATCATTAGAAAGCAGGAAAAAAGCATCTTTATCTCATTGAATTTTCATCGCCACCTATGGGTGGCATCTACATCTCCTGAGCCCAGGTAAGAGGTGATATGTACCTAAGGCAGGTAGATCTACTTCAGAGGTCATCACAGTTTCTGTTTGTTTTCATGTATTTGCTTTTTAATATAGAAGACAAATAAGTTTTTCCCTAGGCTGTGCACTCCCTGTAGTTACTTGTAATGTGTGTTTATTTGCAGAACATAGTGTACTGTGGAGGCCAAATCAAAGTCCATTATAATTGAATATGTTACATAGTCCTACCTGTATTTCTTGATCATTTTTGCACATCTTTAGTAAGAGAACATTGGAACTGTTGGAACCACAGCAGCTGTTAAGACCACTTAGGGAGAGATAACATCTTTCCTAACAGCCTGGTTCTAAAAATACTACCTTGAAAATAAGCATGATAAAATGGTTCTTTTTTTTCCTTTTTTTTTTTTTTTTTTGGTCTCATTCAAGGAAACAATTTGAAATAAAAATCTAAGTTTACATATTGTTGAGGGATTTTTAAGAGACACAAAAAGCAACCCAGTAAGTGAAGGTATAAGTTATAAGAATTAAGAGACCCTTCATGTTCAATACTAATTGTGCTGCTTTTTTTTTTTTTTTTTTTTTTTTTTTTTTTTTGCTTATTACATTTATTCATTCAGTTCTTTCAACAGGAATACTTATTAGTTTTCCTGTGGCTGCAGTAACAAATTAACACTAACATGTTGACTTAACCCAAATGTGTGACCTTATAGATCTGGAGTCAGATGTCTAATAGAAAGGTGTCAGCAGGTGGTCTGCATTCCTTTCCAAGGTTCTGAGGGGAGAATCCATTTCCTTACCCTTTTCAGTTTGCAGAGGCCACTTGCACTCCTTAGCTCCTGGCCCCTTCCTTGTGGCACTCCAGCCTTTGGCTTCTGTCATCACCTCTCCTACTTCTGCCTTTGATTTTCTTGCCAGTGATGACATAGGGCCCACCTGAATAACCCAGGGTAATTTTCTTCTGTTAAAAAATCAGCTGAGTAGGAACCCGATTCCACTTGCAACTTTAATCTCCCTTGCCATGTAAACTAACATATGTACAGGTTCTGGGGATTAGGACATGGACATCTTTGGGGGTGAGGTATTGTTTAGCCTACTGTAAGTACCTACCATGTACCAGTTGATTCTGTGATCACTGACAGCTGGAGATCTATGTTCTCTCCATTGTTCTATTCGAGTGACATAACCAAATTGCTCATATCAAATATCTCTAGACATACTACAGATATACCATCTGTTCATGCATGTCAGCTAATGAAAGGTACCCAGTACCTGATGCCACCACCAAATTCAGGGAAGTCATTCTATTTTGAAGCAGTAGCTGTGGGTTGGTATCAAGTTCCCTATGATGTATCCACGGTGGCCTCTCAATATTGAATGATGCCCTTTTACTTTCTTATTGTAATTCTCTCTCCTATCACACTGACCTTTATCAAGTAACAATGACTTAATATAAAATCTGGCCTTTGTTGGCCTCAATAGGAAAGTTTGTGGAATTTATTATCTCAACTGGGACACCGAGGCAAGTCAAAGGAAGCACAACTAATAATTATGCAGGAAAAATAGATATAAAATAATAGGACTGTCCTGGAACACCAGGCCATGGGTCTCCCTATACATTGGGTCCAAATGAATAATAGCCATAAATACTGTGATGACGATTATGTATTGAGTACCCCATAGGTTCAAGCACTGCAGTATTATTGTTATTATCATTAATCATCCCTATTTTAAAGTTGAGGAAAATAAAGCTCAGAAATGTAAATACCCATAGCTTAAGCTAGTCATTGCTGCATTAGGATTTAAATCCAGTTTTGTAAAACAGTACAAAAAAATGCTTTTTCCATTATGTTGCCTTCCAGAAAAAGCATAGCTTCTTAGAAATTACTGAATTGCAGTTGTCAGCTGGGTATGGTTGGGCATTTTAAGAATGATGTCACCCAGCTGGTATAGCTCCGTGGTTGAGCTTCAAACTATGAACCAGGAGATCACCAATCGATTCTTGGTCGGGATACATGCATGGGTTATGGACACGATACCCAGTGTGGGGTGTGCAGGATGTAGCTGATCAATGATTCTCTCTCATCATTGATGTTTCTATCTCTCCCTCTCCTTTCCTCTCTGAAATCAATAAAAAAGTAAATAAAAATAAGAACGTGACCTGGGAGAGCTATACAATGTCTTCATTAGAGGTCTGTTAAAACCAGGAGCCATGATAGATGCTTTTTCTTGATCTTGCCTTCAGGTCTGTCAGTTTGTCGTCTCTGTCAATGGGCTCAACGTGCTGCATGTGGACTACCGGACTGTGAGCAATCTGATTCTAACTGGCCCACGGACCATTGTCATGGAAGTCATGGAGGAGTTAGAGTGCTGAGCGGGTGGACTTCCTGGCTCTTCGAGTGGCTGTGGATGAGCAAAGCCAAAACAACACAATGCAATGCAGTGACAAGACTTCCATGCACATGGATGGCTCTGGACATAACAAACCTTTTCTTCATACAGACACATCTTGATTTGAGTTTCATACACTGTTTTGAATGTGGAAGAACCGGGTAATACATCTTAAAAACAGCAACTTATGTCAGTGTAGAAAATATCTGGGACAGAATTTTCTTAAATCGGTAGAATTGCTTTACTTGATTTCTGTTTGTAGTTCTCATCCACTGTTTCTTATTTTGATTTGCAGAAAGTTGTTGAAATGTTTCTCTAAAATCTTGCTAAAATCTCCTTCGGAGGAATCACTAGAGGAGTTTTTATAGGCTTTAAACTGTGTTCTCACCAAAATGAACATGGAACTGTTTAATAGAGAATCTAGAGTTCACTGAGCTCCAAATTAAAGCAACAGTCAAAGGAATAGTATCTGTTAATTAGCATTTTGAAGGAGGATCTAAAGCTTTCAAGAGCTTACAGCCATCAAAAAAATGGCTTTTTTTTTTCCCCCTGAATTCCTACCTTTAGTGTCAACTTTAACTCAACATACAGCATTAGTTAAAAAGCAAAACCTCTGTGATGATGTGGGTGCGTAGATAGGGAGATACTACTTGTTTGCTCCATTTTCTCTGTCTGAGCCAAAATCATTTGTTCTATCAGCTATAACAGCTCTCTGGAATTAATGCTGAATGTATTGAATGTCAAAACAGAGACGTTTGTATATACACATATACTTTAGAATCCAGCCTCTGACAAGATTTCACTTTGAGGGTGTCCCTTTTTTAAGTGAAGTGTTCTAGAACTTGGCCCATATGTGACAAAACTTGAAACTAAATTGCCTTACTGGCCTGAATCTTTACTAGCTTTCTAGTATAACGTATTCTAAGGACATGACATGCTACTTATTTGGCGGGAATAGTTTTTCACCAAAAGCAAGTCTCGTGTTGTAACTTTTCAGCTTGCTTGTATATATGCATGTTTCTTTTCTTTTGGTGTAGAAAAGAACACATTTGGGGCTCGGTGTATAGAGGAAATTCCTCAACATGCCAAATTAAGGAGCCAGGGAATGCTGACTTCTCCCTCATTTCATATAATGCGTTCTGAATTGATGAGGTTACTTTCTTATTCTGTATTAACAAAATAAAATATGAATGATGTACCTCAGCCATTATTTTGTGATAGGGTATCATAATGTATTGGTACTGATAGAATTGACATACCACCTTAAAGATGCTACATGTATATATTTCTGGCAGTCCAACTTTTCTGATCTGTAGTTTTAAAGAATAGGATGTCAAAGTAAGATAGAATGGCTAACATTAAAGCTGCCCATCTACATTTGGGAACTATTGTCATCTCCATGCATAAGCTCCTATGTGTGTTTCTACTGTATGCCAATCTCTGTGCTACCGGTCTTAACAAATACGATCTCTTTTCATCCTCATCACAACCCTGCCAGATAGATATTAATCATCCTTACTTGTGGTTGTGGAAACTAAGTATGAGCAAGTTTAAAAATGGCCCCCAAGTTCATCCAGCTGCAAAGATGGCTAAGTGATAGTAGCCTGGATTCAAACACAGGTTTATTTAACATGAAAGCACACGTTCCCACCCCTAGCCTTCCTCCCTGTGGGAACCTTCTGTTGAAGGCTTACTCTGTACCATGTGCAGTGCTAAAATTATACATTGCTAATTTTTACTGACCTGTGAGGTCAATATAATTATCCCCATTTTACAACTGAGGAAACTGACTCATAAAGAGGTTCATCTTATGTCCAAGGCCACACCACTAGTAAGTAGGAGGCCTTACCATTTGGCTTTAAAAATTTTTATGGCATCATTAAAAGATGAGTCTTAAATACTTTCTGTCCCGAGGTATTCATTAATTGACAGAAGAAGGACCGCCTTTTGGGAACTGGCATCTCTTTCTTGCCTGCTACTTATACACGTCCTAATGTCCCTCGTGTTGGCCCTGGCATAGTATCACTTCCCTTTGGCCAATCTAAGCACCAGAGAGGCAAGTGCCTGGCTTTATTTACTCCACATCTGTGAAATTTATTTGATTTGGACTGTCATTGATGTATTTGGCCGTATGAATACCAATGTGAAGGAAGGAACAAAGGAAAGGAAAGAGTGAGGAAGGGAGAGAGGGGAGGAGGGAGGAAAGAAGGAAGGAAGGAAGGAAAGAAGGAAGGAAGGAACGAACGAATGAACGAAGGAAGGAAGGAAGGAAGGAAGGAAGGAAGGAAGGAAGCCCAGTCCTGACACAGAGTAGCGTGTCCGTTGCTATCCATGTTATCCAACAAATCACCCCCAAACATGCCTTATAGCACTATTTATTTGCTCATGATCTATGGGTTAGCATTTTGGGTAGAGTTCTGCTGGCATGGCTCAGCCACTGCTCCATGTGGTACCAGTTGGATTTACACAAACATTTGTATTCAATGAAGAGTTGATGCAAGGGCTGACTGATCATGAAAAACTTCATGCATATGCCTCGCAGTTGGCTGGGGTGCCTCAGTTCTGCTTCGTGTGTCCTTTTCCCACATGAGATCGAAGCAGGTGAGAATGGAAACTGCCTGGCCTTTAGTGGACTTGACTGGAAGTCACAACAGCATAGCATTGGTTGTTCACAAAGGTAGCCCAGAATCAAGAGGTAGGGAAATAGCCTCTACCTTTTGATGGGAGGCATTGCAAAGAATTGGTGGCCATTTTTTCTCCACCAAGAGTAGGTACTTATTATTTTTTGACTAAAGGACCAATAAGTTGCCTAGTTGTTGAGAGACTTTAGCTATCCAGATGCAACTTACTGACTAACCACTGGGTAGAAGTATAAGATTAAGTTGTAAATAAAGTCCAGTGCCAAATGAAAACTTCAAAGTTAGAAAATGCTGAAATGATAGTGCTACATGGAGCCATGGAAAGCACAGTTTCCTGTCCCATTGATGAGGAAATAGGTGTGGAATCATCAGGTGGGCATGTCCATAATCACGAGGCTTGTTGGGTACAGATCCTGGGTCAAATACTGGTCTCCTGCCCTCTCCCTCCCCCCAATCCTTTGTCCTTTCTATTCTAGTGTTCTGCCATGTAGGCTTTTAGCTTTGAGTACTTATAAAATACAAATGGTGCCATTTACCTGTGAAGGTGAAGGGTCTATATTTTAATTGACTCATGTTGTTAAATCATATGATTAAAAAAATAAGTATTTTGTGTGGTCTGTTGACAGTAGGACTGCTTTAACATTTAGAAACTCCATCCTTAAATGTAACACCAAGAATTAGTCTCAAATAACAGTGATCAGTATTCCTAAGAAATTTTATTTTAGCGTGTGTGTGTGTGTGTGTGTGTGTGTGTGTGTGTGTAGCAGTGTATTGCAAAAATGGCCTTCTTCGATCCCAGAGAAAACACACTTTTGATATATTTGTTAATTATGTTGTAGAGAGGAAAATGTGGTTGCCTTTTGGATTGATTCTGTTTGATGTTTTATTTTTAACCTCTGTTAAATAATTATATAAATTGATTAGGGGACTAGTTGAGAAATGATGGGTAACATGAAGATATCCATGTCTGAGTAGAATAGATGTGATCAACTTCACACCATCTTAAAGGAGAATGTGTTGGAGTAGTAGCAATGAATAATTTAAAAATCAGTGCTTTCAGTTCAAAGTGAAATCCCACATTTTCAGATACTCATTCCTTTCAAATATGCTCTGAAAATAATCTACTTTCAAGACCTATTTCAAACAGATGATGTTAACTTTCTCTCCTGTTGAATATTAATCCCATTTCATTTTGTTTATAAATGATCAGAATAACTCTTTTCAGTTTTGCTGATCGGTTAGTCTATTGATATCATTGACCATGGTTTTACTCACTTAAGGAAGAATTTACAGAATAACATGTTTTTCCTCAGTTCAGTATTAACAGGACAAATCTGCAGTGTACCAAAATGAAGATAATCATGATATTGTCAAATGCATTAATATATGTATTTAATATATATGTTTATTTTTAAATTAGACTGAAATTTATGTTCTCCCTTAAGTAAAAATTATAGTATAACACTTAAAATTATAAGGTAAAAATAAATAGTATAGCATGAAATAAATGTTAATTTTTAAAAACAGTGACTTTAGGATTTTACTTTTCCTGTCTTTTAGAACATATTAGCTATTGTTTTTTTCTAAGAAAGGGTTGCATTATAAAACTAACACACTACTAACCTATCAGGAAAGAACACATGGAACTCATCTCCAGTTCTCTAATGTAGCCAAAAGTGCCGTTCATAAAACTACTTAATGATGGATATTTTCTGAAGCTATTTTGCTTGAGGGGGGAAAAAAGTGTATTAAAAGCTTTTTCTGTACTGTATGAGTTGAAATCATTTTGTCCCTACACATACTAGTATTGATGAATGTTGTGAAATATTCTAAAAGGGGAATGCTATATGGATTTTTGGTACTCTGAGAGAATGTCAGTATTTTTACTTTCAATGAATTAGAAAATCAGTCACATACTTCATTGTGGGGTGAGTGTTTTCTTGTGACATAACCCTGGGTCCAGCTTACCTTATAAGAATCACATTTGGGTCTACTTCCTATAATTCTCTGCACAGAGGGAGGAATATGAAATAATGGTGTTGAAGCAGGTGGTTTAATGTGAGACACAGAACACGGACAACTTACATTTAACTGTATTCTCCTTTCCAATCTTTTCCCACTGTCCCTTACTCAAGGTAGCCATAGTGGTGAATGTTGAGTTTGTTAGTCTCTTCTTTTTGTTCTTAATACTTTAGGGTTTTTTAAAATAAACATTCTTAAAATTTAGAGCATTAATTTTTATATAATATCCTGGGACTTGCTTGTTTTAATTCAGAATTATATTACTAAGATCCTTCTAGGTTTTTGTGTATTGTTGTTGTAATTAATTCATTTTTCAAGGCTTCAAAAATTTATAGAACACACAATATATATCTTTTTTCCCCCTTGTAATTGGACATTTGAGTTATTCCCATTGTTGTTGACATAAATGGGAATACTATGGACAATCTTGCACCCACTCCTGGGAACAAGTGGAGGAATTTCTCATAGGAATCCACTTAGGGGAGAAACTGCTGAGTTATGGGAAATGTGAATGCTAACTTTACAAGGTCACAATGGACTCGTTTCCAAAGTGGTTGAACCTACTCTCATCCAAAATATAAAAGTGACATACGTTGATCAGTATCTTTTCCAACACATTCTGAGATGTTTGAATTTTTATCAAATAAATGCCTATTTGGTCAAAATAACACAGAATCCTAATTTGCTGCAAAGCTCATAAAACTTAAAGCACAAAAAATATTAAGAAGTAATTTTTGACCCAAACTTACTACATCAATGCCTTCATGATGGCAAGGCTGTTTTGAAACTCTGTCCGACAACAAGTTTGTGATTCCAATGAGGAAAGGATTCTTGGAAGTCAGTATAACACAGTGGTTGGCAAACTCATTAGTCAACAGAGCAGCAAATCAGTATAACATATTCAAGAGCATCCAAAAATAATTTATTAAACTCCTACTCTGGGCCTGTCACTGAATCTTTGGCAAACAGCAGGAAATAAGACAGGTCTCTGACCTATTAAGTTAAATAAATAAAACTAGGGGTGAGTGCTAAGAAGTAAAATGAAACCAAATGGGATGATAGAAAACGGAGTTGTCACATTACTGAGTTCCTAGGAAGAACCATTCCCATTGCATTCACGTAAACAGTGCCCCCCTGAAGTTAAGCAGTGCAACAGTCCTGAGCAAAGGCTCTCTGCAAACCTGATGTTAGGAGTTGAGCCAGCCTTAGAGAGCTCTGAAAGGAGAGATTATAAACAGGAAACAGCAAGTTTAAAGGGACTGAGGCAGCACATGTCATAAGGGTTAAGAGCATGGCCTCTGGAGACATACCGAGCTGGATTCAGATACCAGCTCTAGCACTTAGAAGTACATCCAGCCCTAACCGGTTTGGCTCAGTGGATGGAGCATTGGCCTGCGGACTGAGAGGTCCCAGATTCGATTCCGGTCAAGGGCATGTACCTTAGTTGCCAGCACATCCCCAGTAGGAGGTGTGCAGGAGGCAGCTGTTTGATGTTTCTCTCTCATCGATGTTTCTAACTTTCTATTCCTCTCCCTTCCTCTCTGTAAAATGTCAATAAAAGTATTTTTTTAAAAAAAGGAGTACATACAGTTGTTATTCAACCTCTCTAAAGATTGGTTTCCTTATTATAAAATGAGAACAATACTACCTACCCCATTTGCCTACTGTGAGGATTAAGATAGTACATGTAAAATGTTTATCCTTGACCCTAGTAAATAGTAATTAGATGTTTCTCTTGTTTTTGTTTTTGTGGAGGTGTTTTTTTGTTTGTTTGTTTATTTTTTGCCCACTAAACAGAAAAAGAAAAAGAAAAAGAAAAAAAACCCCAACACTCTGGGGAAGTTCTTACTTGCCTCCAAACTCACACCAACCAATGTATACCCAGGACTGAAACTCAGATCTCAGAAATATCCAATCTGATGCTTTGTTTCAAGACATCTTTCTGTGCCTTGGTTTTCTCTCTCTTTTTTTTTTAATGATATAACACTCCTACACAGCTAATACGAAGATTAATGAGTTTATATATTTAAAGGTCAACACGGTACCTACTACATAAGTGCTTCAAAAATTACTATTAAAAACTCTTATTACTGGAGATCCAAGATGGCTGCGCCCAGGTGAACACCTAGCCGCAGCCGCACACAACAATTTCAATAAAATACAACTAAAATATAAAACGGACATTGCCCAGAACTACAGGAAGGTTGACTGACTGGAAATTCTACAGTGAGAAGCAAGGAGAAAACCAGAAGGAGGCGCGGAGGAGCTGGAAAAGCCCAAGGTACGGAGACACGCGGCGCGCGAGGAGAGGACGGAGCCGGAGAGGAGGGAGGCCGAGTGCCTGGCGGGCGTTCCCTAGCAGAAAGGAGATAAAACTCCGACTGTGCTGGGCCCCCGACTGCTCTGATCCCCAGTTTTAAGCCAGACCCCGGGGACTCAGGCTCAGCCATAGGGAGCTGGGCTGTAAGGCAGAACCCCGGGGAAGTGGCGAAAGGAGGTCCCGGCGGTGCGCACACTGTGCGCAGAGAAGGGACGGTCGGTCGGTCGGCTGTGCCGCGGAATTGCCCTGACGGGAAGGAGACTGGGGCTCCAGACTGCTCTGAACGCCACCTCCAACTCCACTTCCAACTGAACTGAACCCCAATACCGGGCTCATTGTGGGAGAGCATAGACTGTTTGGCAGCAGGCGAAAATCGAGGGCACCTTTCTCTCAGAGGCGCCGGCAGCGAGCACTGAAGGACCCGCATAGGGCAGAGCTGATGGAAGCCAAAGCTACAGGCTCCACCCTGAAACCCCGTCCCATCTGTAACTGCGAAATGCGACAACAAAATAGATCACAAACGAAAGAAATGGAGGACAAAAAGCGTCTGGATATAGAGTTCAAATCTACGCTTATAAGGTTTTTCAAGAATTTCCTAGAAAAGATGGATAAGGCCTATGAGGATATGAAAAGAGATCAACTAGAATTAATAAGGAGTCATCGAGAAATGATAAGGGATCAACAAGAAATAAAGAATACATTGTCTGAAATAAAAAATATTTTACAGAGTCCTAAAAACAGAAGGGAAGATCACAAGAATCAAGTCAAAGATTTGGAACATAAAGAGCCAGAAAACACTCCTCCACAGAAGCTAGAAGGCAAGAGAATCCAGAAAATTGAAGTTAATGTAAGAAACCTCTGGGACAACTTCAAGCGAACCAACATCAGAATTATTGGGGTCCCAGAAGATGAGAGAGAGCAAGATATCGAAAACATACTGAAAGAAATAGTGACAGAAAACTTCCCCCACCTGGTGAAAGAATTAGACTTACAAGTCCAGGAAGTGCACAGAACTCCAAACAAAAGGAATCCAAAGAGGACCACACCGAGACACATCATTATTAAAATTCCAAGAGCAAAAGACAAAGAGAGAATATTAAAAGAAGCAAGAGCAAAGAAGGTAGTAATCTATAAAGGAGCACCTATACGATTGTCAGCTGACTTCTCAACAGAAACCATGCAGGCCAGAAGGGAATGGCAAGAAATATTCAAGGTAATGAATAGCAAGAACCTACAGCCAAAAATAATCTACCCAGCAAAACTATCACTCAGAATCGAAGGCCAGATAAAGAGCTTCACTAATAAAAAAAAGCTAAAGGAGTTCATCACCGCCAAACCAGAATTATATGAATTGCTGAAGGGGGTTCTTTCAGAAGAGAAAGTAAACAAAGATAAAAATTATGAACAACAAATACGTAACTATCAACAAGTGAATCTAAAAACCAAGGAAATTAAAAAAAATCTGATGAACAATATTAACTATTGAATATAATAGAATCAGAGGTATGGAAGGGGAGTGAACTGACGATTCTTGGGGGAAAGGGGAGAGGGGGATGTGGAAGAGACTGAACATAAACTGTGCACCTATGGATGAGGACATTGGGGAGAGGGGAAAGGGCAGAGGGTGGGGTGGGAACCTGGTGGAGGAGAGCAATGGTGGGGGGGAAAATAAAGGAACATTTGTAATAATATGAACAATAAAAACTTATAAAAAAAAAAAAAAAAAAAAAAAAAAAAAACCTCTTATTACTGCCGGCACTGGTTTGGCTCAGTGGATAGAGCGTTGGCCTGCGGACTGAAAGGTCCCAGGTTCGATTCCGGTCAAGGGCATGTACCTTGGTTGCTGGTTGCCGGCACATCCCCAGTAGGGGGTGTGCAAGAGGCAGCTGGTCGATGATTCTCTCTCATCGACGTTTCTAACTCTCTATCCCTCTCTCTTCCTCTCTGTGAAAAATCAATAAAATATATTTAAAAAAAAAACAAAAACTCTTATTACTACTACCATACCATGCAAAATTCTGTCACTTTGTAGACCCACACTAATCCATAAGATTGCCTCTATGTATTGTTTCTACATATCTTCATCACCAACAATATACACTTTTGTTGTTTTAGTTATGATAGACTACATATATTTGAAGAAATACAAAACACTAATTTGAAAGAATTTATGCACCCCCATGTTCATTGCAGGATTATTGACAATATTCAAGATGTGGAAGCAACCCTTATATAAAATGAAAAGAAAAGAATGAATACTTACCTTTTGTGACAGCAAGGATGGACCTAGATGGACTTATTTTGCTAAGTGAAATAAGTCAAACAGTGAAAGACAAATACCATATGATTTCACATATGTGTGGAATTTAAAAGAACAAAATGAACAAAATAGAAACAGATTCATAGATATAGGGAGCAGACTGTTGGTTGCCAGAGGAGAGAAGGGTTGAGGGCTGAGGGCAAAGAAGTGAATGGATTAAGAAGTAGCAACTGGTACTTACAGAATAGTCACAGGGATATAAAGCACAACACAGGGGAGATAGTCACTAATATTGTAATAAATATGTGTGGGGCCAAGTGGGTATCTAAAGTATCGAGGGGACCACTTTGTAAAGTATATGATTCTCTAAACACTATGCTGTACACCTGAAATTAATACAGAATAATATTGAATGTAAACTGTAATTGAAAGAAAACTCATAGACTAGATTATGGAAGTGTTAGAAAAAATAGATATGATCCACTGTATGCTTTATTATGTGCATTAAAAGAAATCACCATGCTGTCACTTTTGCTATATTTCTTGAGTACTGAGGAGCAAGGAGGTTCACAGGTTGGTCAGAAATATAGCTCTAGATTTGTGGCTGTAAGTTGAGAGAGAGCAAAAATAATTTTGCATTGGATCCTTATGTTATTAGCTATCTAGCTTTTAAAACTGAAAGTTACAAATAAATAACTTACCAAACACAATCTTTTTAAACTCAAGATTTCATAGGAAATAATTTCACAAAACTGCAAAATAGCATGTTTACTATCTGATCAGGCTCCCCCAGCAGTTTTACAGCCTGTTAAGAAAGCAATAAAAGTAATCCATTGTTGTGCTTTCTCTCCCATGTCAAAACGTAGTTCTCAGGTACACTGGAGACTTAGCTTTGATTATAAAGGAGTCTCTTTCCTGAGCACACTTTAATGGAGACATCGTTCCATTTGTCTTTTGTGGGAAGCTTCCTACATGTAGAAGCTTAGGGGATTCATGCTGGAGTTCCGTCAGTAAAACCACCACCCTGTGCTTCTGTTAGCACAGGCAGAGAGTGGGGGCACAGGCTGCTGCTTGCCTTGTGGC